TAGCCTGGTGACTATGTTTTAAGTATTAACAAAAATAATTTCTTGGTGTCTGATAAAAGAGGAACAATTAGAACAATGTAATATCCTACTGGGGAGGAACCAGTGTTATGTTAAAAGGAGAGGGGAAAAGTACAAAAATATTTACAATATGACTGCAACTGTTATGACCAAAAAAGTTCTATGTTTAGGGGGGAAATGACAAAATATTCCTGTGTTAAGGGACTTGATTTATATGGTAAGAATACAATTGCTTTTTTCTTTTTAAAAAGTTCTATATTCTGCAGGGTGTGGTGGCTCACACCTGTAATCCCAGCACTGTGGGAGCCTGAGGAGAGAGAATTGCTTGAGCTCAGGAGTTCGAGACTTGCCTGAGTGAGAGTGAGACCTAAAAAAATGGAAAAACCCAAGTGGGCGCTGCAGTAAGCACCGGTAATCCCAGGTGCTTCCAGAGACTGAGGCAGTGGGATGCCCACAGCCCAAGTCTGAGGTTGAAGTGAGCTACGGTGCCTGCTCAGGGCATAAGATGGGACTCTGTCTCAACTACAACAACAAAAAAAGAAAGAAAAATAAAAAAATAAAAAGTTCTAGATTCTAGGCTCAGCACCCCTAGCACAGTGCTTATGACACCAACCACATACACCAAGGCTGGCAAGTTCAAACCCGGCCCAGAGCAGCTAAACAACGACAACTACAACAAAAAAAATAGCTAGGCATGGCTGGGCGCCTGTAGCTCTGCGGCTAGGGTGCCAGCCACATACACTGAACCTGGCCTGGGCCTGCCAAACAACAATGACAACTACAACCAAAAAATAGCTGGGTGTTGTAGCAGGTGTCTGTAGTCCCAGCTACTTGGGAGGCTGAGGCAAGAGAATCGCTTAAGCCCAAGAGTTTGAGGTTGCTGTGAGCTGTGATGCCACAGCACTCTACCAAGGGCAACATAGTAAAGACTCTTGTCTCAAGGGGAAAAAAAAGTTCTATATTCTAAATTTTCTTTATTGAGCAAGTATTTTATAATAAAGAACAAAAAAGCAACCTTTAAGAGAGGGAAGAGTATCTTGTGATAGTCTACAAAATCATACATACACTCCACAATTAAGAGTCCATCCTGGTATCTCATTCTAGGCTCTGATGAATATAGCAGCCTCAGTGAGGAGGAAAGAGGCAGCAACAGACGTCAGATGTGGAACAAATACCCTTTGGATGTACAGAAGGAGTTTGGCTATGACCCCCACGACCTGGATTCGGACTGATCATCTTTTCATATCTATGAGCTTGAACCATGGGCCCTTGAGGGTTCTGTGATTACATTGGTAACCACTCTGGTGACATCTTCTTAGTTGTCCTAGCCTAACATGTGAAAGAAAAAGTATATCCAATAGTAGTATCACCCCACAGTGGAAACATGCTAAGGGAGTAAGTCTTTTTCCACTAATACTAGGACCCTTTCTCTTCAATCAAAAGTGACCTACAATCTGGAAAAAAAAATACCATAAAAATGAAGGTTCCTTTAGTTTCCTGGCCTACACATTATTCCTGGCATTCCATTTCTCCTATACTGAAGCCACAAGGGAAGGAGAGGCTATTTCATCAGCTTTCCCACACCAGCAGGCTGCCTGCCTCCAATAAAAGTATTCCTTTTAATAGAGGGAATCTAGAAGCACTACAGTGGGTCCCTTGTAACAGCATAGACCAGATAGTGATGGCCAGGATGTAAAATCTGCCTGAGCTGTGGGAGATCTCAGTTAACCACTGTCTCTGCCTCCCTGCTTCTAGACTCTTGATAATGATCATAAAGAGTGCAGTCTTCTCAAGAATAGATATTAAAAGTAGGCAGACGGAGGGAGGAAAAAGTGCAGTCTTTTGGCAGTGGTGCCAAGGAACAGAATATGTATGAATATGATACACTGTATTTAGTAAAAGCCAATTTTGAACATGGAAATGACTGATTCTTTAAAAGCTTTTAAATTTGAATATTTTCGTTGTTTTCCCACTGTACTTACACAAAAAAGGGGTGGTGATAGAAGTTTTAGAATTGATTATAGACACTAAGGACTCAAAGCAAGTGAAGAAAAAGCACATTCTGAATTTGGCTTTCCACTGGGAAATGTCTTTTATTCATAGCACTCACCAAAAACGACTGTCAAGAGAACCAATTTTGTTACCAGAACTTGTATCTCCTATGAGCTAATTCTGTCCTAGTCCTCTCCAAACCATAGCTGCCTTAGCTCTGACTAGGTTGGCATGTATTCTAGCATAACATTGTCCAATAGAACCTCCTGTGGTGATAAATATATATATTCTGTGTCTGCACCATTTAGTAGTGCTACAAGCCACATGTGGCTATTGAGCACTTCAAATGTGATTTGAGGAACTGAGTCTTTAATTTGTTTTCATTTTAACTTAGTTACATGGGGCTAGCAGCTACTGTAGTAAATAGCACAGGTCTCGGGAGACAACACACCATTCGATTCAAGAGGTATCTTCTTGCCCTGTAAGAGTTTGTCTCTAACTCACTATCCTGTGGGAATGTGAATTACATAAGGCAATGCATTTTCCCACCTCTTTTAAGATTTCATAAGCCATTCCTCTGCATCCTACCTCTTCCCATTCTTTGACTTTGTGTCCATTTTGTAAGCCTTTACCTACAGTAGTTCCTATCCTACATGGAATTCTTAAACCAACAAAAGTGATTAAGTTATAAAAAATTAAATAAGTGATTAAGTTCTGTGTGCTCAGGCCCTACTATTAAAGCTGATTAAACTATCAAACAGACTGAGTTTTCCCATCCCAAGTATCTACAGATTCAGAGCTATAATGAACAAGCAGCAACTTACACATATAATACCAGTTATCCTATAGGCATAGAAATGATTAGAAACCACTCTGTCATTATCATGTGCTCACTACTCGTTACGTACTCATTAAAGTTTCACCAGCATTAGAAAGCCGACAGCTTCACACACTGTACCCATCAGAGGAGGGATTAGCACACCAGGAGAAGGATTTAAGGAGACAAACAACAAAGAACTGGCAGAAATTAATTCCACCATGAAACCTAAGTGCAGCAGGGAGTCTCTGGCTTCGCTCCACTGAAAGGTTCCTAGGAGAAGTCTAATCCAGCACAGAGGGGAAGAATGCTTTTACCCTCCAAAAATGAGAGAGAGATGACACGGCTCAGTAAGCAAGTACTAGGGTACCTGTAGAGTGAGGCCCTTTCGTCCCCTGGGAGCCACTGGGGGGCAGCAAATTCCTGGGATTTGCTGGTGATTAGGTAGAGAAAGCTAAAGCTATGGTCAGAGATCCTGAAGACAAGCAAGCACACTTTGCTTTAAAGGATTAGCTCCAGAGGAGCCCTGGGACAGATGCCACCTTGGCTTAGGCAGGAATCATGTTTTTATAGACTCCCTACTCCTAGGCAAGTCAATCTTGCCCAAGACTCCCTGTGGTCAGGCAGGAATTTTTGTACAAATCCCCAACCCATAACAGTGGGAATGCCCTCCCATGTTCTCACAGCACAGATGCATGACTGAATCTAAGGCAACAGTGATCATGCTCCCTTAAGTCTTCTTTATTGAGCAGGTATATGACCAAGGTTACTCCTTTGTCTGTGACTGGGGCAAGTTTGGTGGGAAGAATGGTCAGAAAGGAAGACCACCTTGTCTTTACCATTGACCAGTTCCAAAATGTAAGGGTTAAAAGCGCATGAGGTGTGCCAAGTCAGCAGGTTCTTCTGGGCTCAGGATGATACTGAGGACATCACAAAATGGTTGTACAATCCAGCAGCCATCCTGCCCACGCAGGAAGATCCATTAGACCAGATCTGCTCTGGCCTGACCTAGGGTGCTAGAGCCTAGCCTGAGCACCAGAAATGAAGTCTGCTGAGGAGCTCATTGAGGTTGCAGCAGCTTTTCTCCCAGTCTTCACTGATCTTCACAGGGAGAAAATAAAAGTCCCCACAAATATCAAGTTTTTCCTGAGACTGCAGCCCACCAGACTTCAGAAGCACGGGGAGACTGGCGGGAGAAGAGTACGTTATCCCGATGACCCACACCAAGGCAGCTCCAAATGTAAACAAAGCCTTGTGCCAGGGACAGAAGAGGAGGAGGCAGCCTGATGTGAGGTTTTAGGAAAAGAAAATGACCTCTTATAGCACCGGGGTAGGCTTGCTTGGGTCTGCACAGCAGTCCCTCACACTGGCCCTTACAGAGAGGAACAAATTATTTGATGATTTGGGCCCATGAAACGTTCTCCAAGCCATTGATGGCTCAAAGAATTCAGGCAATCCACCTGAATTCCAGAACAGTTTCGGACCTCTTAAAGTTCATACCAGAAACCCAGAGATTTGCTTTCTGTCAACTAAAACAAAAACCCAAGTTCTCAGAGGATTATCCTTTACAATGGCAGTTTCACCAGACTCGCCAAGGGCTTATAACATGTGATCTATCCATATACTAACATATAACAGGTACATGAGTAAAAGAAAAATCTTTACATTTCATCACTGTGGATAAGACTCAACACAAGATTGTGTTAAACTGACATAACTTCTATGATCAGAGTCTGACCCACCACCATGTAGGGTAGAGGGACTCAGTTTTGGGTACTTTGAATTTTTAAATGCAATCAGCCTATTGCATCCTGTAGATGAATGAACACTAACATTTTGTTAAAATTGGTGTTCTGGATTAATAACATCAATAAATAAGAGAATATAACTCTCTCCCCAAGGAAAAACTTTGAGCCAGAAGAAGAAATGGTAGCATTTCAGGCCTCTAAAGTCAGATGCTTAGACCTGGTCAGAGGAAAACTTTCCATATAGCAACACTGCTGTAGACTCTTGATTCGGAAGCCACCACCCATACTATCAACCTAGCACTCCTTCCCCCACTACAACTTACCAAGTAAGTATAAGAGCTACAACTACCCACCAGGAGTAAAACTAAATGACCATTCCCCTGCTCCCCAACCTTCCTCCCACCCTCTCAAGTCCCCACCTTGAGGCTGGCCCCAGACCCTGAATCTCCTCTTGTAGCTTACCAGTGAGAGTGAGCACTCCCCTGAGCCCCCTTATATGATGTGGGTCAACTGGCTCCTTTAATTTAGGAGAGTTGGGCCCACAGGGTCTTGTTAGCAGGACTTTGGTGGCCACAGCCACCTGTGGACAAACTTCTGGGCTTCAGGGGAAGTAACCTCTTGCCGCTAGTCAGTTTTCCTTTCAACCTTTCTCTCTTCAGCTACATCAAGCTCAGTCAGGACACAAAAGCAAACCTGCTGGGTGACTCTGGTGATAGCAGCTAAATAAAAATAGAGAAGCACAAAATTCAGTAAATACATCTACCTACAGCCCCAATGTGAACACCACAAGGTTGATTAAAGCATATCTGTGCCTCCCTCCCACAAGTCCCTTGGAGTATCCTGAGCCAGGGTTTGCCCTCCCAATAAGCCTCATTGTCCTTTGTCCCATGCCCAACCAGAGTCTGATACATGATTCTTCATCTTTCCAGGTAGACTGCACTGTCAGGAGGTAGTGCTGTAACCCCTGAGTGGGTCACTAAAATTAGAATCAAAGGGATAGCTCATCAAAAAAGGGAGTCTGGGCTCGGCGCCTATAGCTCAACCGGCTAAGGCACCAGCCACGTACACCTAAGGTGGCGGGTTCGAATCCCCAGCCCGGACCCGCCAAGCAACAATGACGGCTGCAACCAAGGAATAGCCGGGCGTTGTGGCGGGCGCCTTTGGTCCCAGCTACTTGGGAGGCGGAGGCAGGAGACTCGCTTGAGCCCTGGAATTGGAGGTTGCTGTGAGCGTAATGCCACGGCACTCTGCCCAGGGGGACAGCTTGAGGCTCTGTCTAAAAAAAAAAAAAAAGGGAGTCTGTAGCTTGGCGCCTGTAGCTCAGCGGTTAGGGCACCAGGCACATACACTGGGGCAGGCAGGTTCAAATCCAGCCCAGGCCTGCCAAACGCCAATGACAACTACAATACAAATAAATAGCCAGGCATTATGGTAGGTGCCTGTACTCCCAGCTACCTGGGAGGCTGAGGCAAGAGAATCACTTAAGCCCAAGAGTCGCTGTGAGCTGTGATGCCATAACACTCTACCACCATGGCACTCTACCGAGGGTGACATAGTAAGACTCTGTCTCAAATAAAAAAAAAAGGGAAGTGGGCGGTGCCTGTGGCTCAAAGGAGTAGGGCGCTGGCCCCATATGGCAGAGGTGGCAGGTTCAAAACCAGCCCGGGCCAAAAACTGCAAAAAAAAAAAGAGAAGTCATGAGCATCTAAGTCTATGGCCTCTAGCGCATCACAAGTATGGGAAAGAGGAGGTTGGTAGCTGTGGGTGCATGTGGGAGTACTTAAAGGAAGAGTCATATCTTGATGTGCTTGCATTGCTAGTAATGATTTAATAAGCTTAAAACCAATATTCAAGTATTAGTTATAAGTATAAATAGGCTAGGAATTGAATTAAGAAAATGATTGCAGGGTGGCACCTGTGGCTCAGTGAGTAGGGCACTGGGCCCATATACCAAGGATGGTGGGTTCAAACCCAGCCTATAGCACAGCTATTTGGGAGGCTTTGACAAGAGAATCTCTTGAGTCCAAGAGCTATGATGCCACAGCACTCTGCTGAGGGCAACAAAGTGAGACTCTGTCTCAAAAAAAAAAAAAAATTAAGAAGTAAATCCATCCAATTAACATAGTTAAAGAAATAATTTAGTTAGAAAAATGCAAGCAGGTAGTGCCTGTAGGTCAGGGGGTAAGGCACTGGCCACATACACGGAGGCTGGCAGATTTGAACCTGGCCTGAGTCAGCTAAAACAACAATGATAACTGCAACAACAACAAAAATAGCCAGGTATTGTGGCAGGCACCTGTAGTCCGAACTACTTGGGAAGCTGAGGCAAGAGAATCACCTAAGCCCAGGAGTTGGAGGTTGCTGTGAGCTGTGACGCCACAGCACTCTACTGAGGACTGAGGGGGACAGCTTGAGACTCTCTCTCAAAAAAAAAAAAAAATCCATTGAAATTGAGCATGGCGGCTCGGCACCTATAACTCAACCGGCTAAGGCGCCAGCCACATAAACCTAAGGTGGCAGGTTCGAATTCCCAGCCCAGACCCGCCAAAAACAACAATGACAGCTGCAACCAAAAAAAAAAAATAGCCCGGCGTTGTGACAGGCGCCTGTGGTCCCAGCTACTTGGGAGGTAGAGGCAGGAGACTCGCTTGAGCCCAGGAGTTGGAGGTTGCTGTGAGCTGTAATGCCACGGCACTCTACCCAGGGGGACAGCTTGAGGCTCTGTCTCAAAAAAAAAAAAAAGAAATTGAGCATGGCAATGAAAAAAAAAAAAAAACAAGCATAGCAAGAACCATATCAGAATTGTTTGCCTTTCCCTCATGAGATTTATGATTAGAACAATGGTATATAAACTAAAAACGGAGCTAACCTGAAATAGAATGTTGCATGTATACTGACTGAACCTCACAAAGAAAGGCATGAAGCCTCCTGACCCAGCTAAACTCTTAAACTTTCTCCTTGTCTCGAATTTTCATTTTCTTTGTCATCTCATGTCTTTCAGGCCACTGGAGGGAAGCCATAGCATTTTGGGGGCTGGTACCCAAGATGTAGCCACCCCTAACCTCTGCAGGTACACACCCATGCACACACACACAGAGCCACTGACTAATGGAGCAAAGAGAAGCTCACCCAAGACATTCCGAATAAAGAGTGGCCTCCGGGACTCTGGCAGGTAAACACCCACGAAGTAGACAGGAATCCCGGAGAGGACAATCCCAATACCAATGAGGGAATTAATGGTGTCACTGAAGAGGGGCACAATCACCAGAAACACGGAGCATATGCAGAACACGATGGGAAAAAACAGGCTCAACTGAAACGGAGTGATTGAGATATTAAGGTGGGATGAGGGAACAGAGCATGGGCAGATGGCATGCCCCTCCCAGTCTGCCCAGAGCTGCTGACCTTGAGAGGCCGGGGCCACTCGGGTTCCTTCCAGCGAAGGTAGAGCTGTCCAACAACAGACAAGCCCACAAAGAACCAGTAGCTGAAGCTGAAGTAGTTGATGAGCAGGAAAACATCTTCCACAATGAGGTAGATGAGTGTCATGGTGCACTGTGGGGTGGGGGGGAAGAGGAGTGAGCATCAAAACCCCAGTCCACCCCAGGAGACTCCACTATCCAGCAGTCAATGCTAGGCCGTGGCTTTACTAGAGTACCTCCGCTTCTTTTTAATGACCCCTTGGTATCAGATAGGTTCGTTTTCTATATTAAGCTTCAAGGCAGCATCTCTCACTCTTGTTAGAGCCCTTCCTCCATTCAATGCCTCCCTTCTTGTTACAGCACTTCACTAACAAGCCAGACTGCTTTCCCCCTTTTTTTTTTTTTTTTTTTTTTGAGACAGAGCCTCAAGCTATCCCCCTGGGTAGAGTGCCATGGCATCACAGCTCACAGCAACCTCCAACTCCTGGGCTCAAGTGAGTCTCCTGCCTCAGCCTCCCAAGTAGCTGGGACTACAGGCGCCCACCACAACGCCCGGCCATTTTTTTGGTTGCACCCATCGTTGTTTGGCGGGCCCAGGCTGGGGATTCAAACCCGCCACCTTAGGTGTATGTGGCTGGCGCCTTAGCCACTTGAGCCAGAGGCGCCAAGCCTGCTTTCCCCTTCTGATGGCAGACAGGCCCTCCACACCAACCTCAACATGGAACACCTGGGTCCCAATTACCTGGCATATAAAAGGAGTAATGCCTCCAGAACCATCTCACTGTCCTGGGGTCTTAGAAATCCAAATTATCAAAATGGATCCATACACCTTCAAGAAAGAGGCATGACAGAATTTGCCCTCTGGAACAGAGGAATCCTAGAGGACAGGGGTCAGGGACTACAGGCCTGGGACAGGTCAGATTTGCTTAAACTTTAAGAATGTAGAACTCCCTCTACCTATCTTTTTACCCCAAATTTTCAACAAAGAATTTAAAACAGCCCCTTCTGTGGAGACAAGGGTGGACTACACCCTGTATTAGAAGGAGAGATGTGAGGTAGAAGGTAGCTAACTTATAAGATGAGATGTTAGATTACCCTCCTAAAGTCCCAATTGAAATAATGAAAGGACTTTTCTACCATTTTGACAAAATGATACCAAAGTTCATTGAGAATAGGGAAAGAGAACTAAAGAAGAAGGACCCTAAGTCTCTCTTTTCAGTTTTCAGATATTCAGAATAAAGCTTAACTCATGAGGCTTGGTGCTGACGAGGAGTATCTGAGATGATAATACATTGAAAGGACATACAATTGTACTTGGTACATATTAAATACCCTAAAAAAATTAGCTATTATTACTTTTATATGAAAAAAATTTGAAAACTGGAAAAATAGATTGTTCATAGCCACTTGAGAAAAAATTAAGTGAATCCCCACCCTACTCAATACACCAAAATATAAAAATCATGAATCCAAAATTTAAACTTAAATGATAAAATCATTTAAAAAAGTGGTAACAAAAAATGAACTGATTTTTGAAGTAAGGCCTTTCTCAGACTCCCTATGACATGTATATAACAACTTAGAACAAATTAGGAACACTGCACAGACCTACCCACCCCACACACTCCCCCAGCAGAACTTACATTAAACAGTAAAGCAGGGATGGGTGTAAAACGCTCTATATGGATCATGGATAGAAGGTCAGGGAGGTGGCCCTCACGAGAACCTACAAAGAATAACCTAGAAGGACAAGAAAAGATCAGTAGGATCTTGTTGCTCAGTCACACAGCCACACTCCTCATTCAAACTAGGCTCAGAGCCCCAGAAAAAAGCAAGGGACAGTCTCCAGGGAGCATCCCATGTACTCTATGACCAGTCTACCCTACCCCTTCTTTACCCACAGATGTCTCCACCTTCCTCACTATTCCCAGGAATGTCCCTCACCCCACCCTACAGTTACCCATTGACAATCCCAGGCCCTCAGCCATGGAAACCACTATCACCCACAGATGCCTCACCCTGCTGGCATCTACTGACACCCTAATCCACTTCACCAGGGGTACCTGTACTGTGCCATTTCACAAATCATAGTTAACACAATGGCTTTTTTTTTTTTTTTTTGAGACAAAGCCTCAAGCTGTCGCCCCGGGTAGAGTAATGGGGCATCACAGCTCATAGCAACCTCCAACTCCTGGACTAAAGTGATTCTCCTGCCTCTATCTTCCAAGTAGCTGGGACGACAGGCACCTGCCACAACGCCCAGCTATTTTTTGGTTGCAGCCGTTGTTGCTGTTTGGCAGGCCCGGGCTGGATTTGAACCTGCCAGCTCAGGTGTATATGGTTGGCACCTTAGCCGCTTGAGCCACAGGCACCAAGCCTTTTTTTTTTTGAGACAGAGTCTAACTTGGTCACCTTTGGTAGAGTGCCACAGCATGAGCATGTTGTGATGTCATAGCTTATAGCACTCTCAAACCTCAAACTCTTAGGGTTAAGAGATCCTGTTCCCTCAGCCTCCCAAGTAGCTGGAACTACAGGCACTTCAATGCCTGGCTATTTTCTCTTCCTATTTTTAGTAGATAAGGGGTCTTGCTTTTGCTCGGGCTGGCTTCAAACTCTTGAGCTCAAACAATCTACCCACCTCAGCCTCCCAGTGTACTAAGATTACAGGCATGAGCCACTCTGCTCAGCCCACAATGGCTTTTTTTTTTTTTTTTTTTTTGAGACAAGAGTCTAACTTGGTCACCTTTGGTAGAGTGCCACGGCATCTTAGTTCACAGCAACCTCAAACTCTTCTGTTCAAGCGATTCTCTTGCCTTAGCCTCCCAGACACCTGGGATTCAGGCATGAGCCACTGCACCTGGCCCCACAATGGCTTTTTTTTTTTGAGACAGAGCCTCAAGCTGTCCCCCTGGGTAGAGTGCCGTGGCATTACAGCTCACAGCAACCTCCAACTCCTGGGCTCAAGCGAGTCTCCTGCCTCCGCCTCCCAAGTAGCTGGGACCACAGGCGCCCGCCACAACGCCCGGCTATTTTTTGGTTGCAGCCGTCATTGTTGTTTGGCGGGTCCGGGCTGGGGATTCGAACCCGCCACCTTAGGTGTACGTGGCTGGCGCCTTAGCCGGTTGAGCTATAGGCGCCGAGCCCCCACAATGGCTTTTTAAAGAAAAGCAACCAGTTGGCCAGGCATAGTGGCTTTACTTCATGCCTATAATCCTAGCACTCTAAGAGGCCAAGGCAGGTGGATCACTTGAGCTCAGGAGTTTGAGACCAGCCTAAGCAAAGCAAGACCCCCTTCTCTACAAAAAGTAGAAAAACTCGCTGGGCATTGTGGTGGATGCCTATAGTCCCAGCTACTTGGGAGGCTGAGACAAGAGGATCTCTTGAGCACAAGAGTTTTGTTTATTTTTGTTTTATTTTTTTGAGACAAAGTCTCATTTTGTCACCTTCAGTAGAGTGCTATAGCATCATAGCTCGCAGCAACCTCAAACTCCTGGGGCTCAAAAATCTTCTTGCCTTACCTCCTAAGTAGCTAGAACTACAGGCACCCGCCACAATGCCTGGCTATTTTTAGAGACAGGGTCTCGCTCTCAATCAGGCTGGTCTAAAATTCCTCAGCTCTAGCAACCCATCTACCTTAGCCTCCCAGAGTGCTAGAATTACAGGCATGTGGTGGTGCCCATAGCTCCACCATAGTGGGGCACCAGCCACATACACCAAGGCTGACGGGTTTGAGCCTGGGCCTGCTAAGCAACAATGACAACTGCAACCAAAAAAATAGCTGGGCTGGGCGGTGCCTGTGGCTCAATGGGTAGGACACTGGCCCCATATACTGAGGGTGGTGGGTTCGAACCCAGCCCCAGCCAAACTGCAACAAAAAATAGCCAGGCGTTGGTGGCAGGTGCCTGTAGTCCAGCTACTTAGGAGGCTAAGGCAAGAGAATCACCTAAGCCCACAAGTTGGAGGTTGCTGTGAGCTGTGACGACACAGCACTCTACTGAGGGCAATAAAGTGAAACTCTGTCTCTTAAAAAAAAAAAAATAGGGCAGTGCCTGTGGTTCAAAGGAGTAGGGCACCAGTCCCATATTTCAGAGGTGGTGGGTTCAAACCCAGCCCTGGCCAAAAACAAACAAACAAAAAAAATCCAGGCGTTGTGGCAGGCATCTATAGTCTCAGCTACAAGAGAATCGCTTAAACCCAAGAGTTTGAGGTTGCTGTGAGCTGTGATGCCATAGCACTCTACCAAGGGCAACATAGTGAAACTCTGTCTCAAAAAAAAAATAATAGTAATTACAGGCATGAGCCCCGACGCATTGCCCTTAGCCCAAGAGTTTGAGTTCACCATGAGCTAGGACACCATGGTACTCTACCCAAGATGACAAAGTTAGACTCTATCTCAAAAAAAATAATAACAACAGGGCAGCACCTGTGGCTCAAAGGAGAAGGGCACTGGCCCCACATGCCAGAGTTGGCGGGTTCAAACCCAGTCCCGGCCAAAAAAAAAAAAAAAAAAGTAATAATAAAGAAGAGTTTAGCTGGGTGTTATAGCAGGTGCCTACAGTCCTAGCTACTTGGAAGGCTGAGGCAAGAGATTCTCTTAAGCCCAAGAGTTTGAGGTTGCTGTGAGCTGTGACACCACAGCACTCTACTGAGGGCAACATAATGAGACTCTATCTCAAAAAATAAAATAAAATAAAAATAAATAAATAAAATAAAGAAGAGCAGCCAAACTTCTATTTGCACCCTCCATATGTCTTCCCTGAGCTGAGGGTCCAGCATAACCCACAAGTAGCCTGGAATCTGGTACCTGCCAGGTTAACTACTCTAAGCTATTATCTTCCTCCCCTATCAATCTGTCCTCTCTTCAAAAAGACATATGAGCTTCCAACACACAAATGTTTGCACAAAGGCGAGCACATACACATATACATATATGTGTACACACACACATACAAACACACACGCCCTGTCTGCCCATGAGCGGAAGAAGGGGGAAAGGAGCTCTTATACCTACAGCCCCATCACAGTCCATTATCAGTGATGTAGAGGTACAATACCTTGATGAAGCAAAGATAGATGCATTGAGGCCCCCAAAACAGGACAGGGCAACGGCAATGGGAATGGTCCAGCTGAACATACCAAATGTCTGGTCAGCAAATGTCTAGGGATATAGCACAGAAGGGAAACTCAACACAGGACAGGGTTTCCTCCTGCATCTATAATCTCAGAAAAAATACAGTTACTGCTAAGAGGCCCACCCTCTGGTCTGGACATATGACCTCATACTGCAGAGCTGCAGAGGCTACAGAAAGACTGGGCCCTTCATGGGGGCTGACTATCATGAGACGACAACCAAATAGGAATCCCAAGAGACTCACCACAGCCACAGCATCACTGTTAAGGACATCTGAAATGCTCAGCACTGTGTAATAGGCCACGTTGGTCAGGATGTAGATGAGTGTCACAACTGGCATAGAAATCCCAATGGCCAAGGGCAAATTTCTGTCAGGACAAGTGATATAGGACAACCTAGAACCGACCTCTCCTTAGGATAAAAGTTCATCAAGTCTCATGGGAAATTTCCTAACATTTAACATTTCATTGGCCTCTAGATCTTTGAGGCAGCCTCATCTTCCCCTGTGGCTTAGGGTAGGCATGTATCCAATGCCCTGGGCTATTGAGAGAGAGAGGGAGAAAGAAACACCTTTCTCTGTGAAGATAGGTCATGATCAGTATTTCATCTTCTCACAGTAGGGTCAATGGGCCCCACAGGGTTTCATAATCCTCCTCTACCTATGACCTATGACCTTAGGACAAATGCAAGGAATAGTGTCCTCTGGGGGACTAGAGGCCAGGCTAGGGATCCAGCTGGCCAGAATAAATTCTGACTCTGCAAGCTGCAGCCTCGGCACCAGGGTGCAAGGTCCTAACACGTTAGCCCCAGCTGGGTTTGCTATTCCCCACCTCTCCTCTAGGAAGAATCCTAAGGACCCTACCTTCACTCACTCCATCCTGCCCTTCAGCCTCTCCTAGCTGGGGAAGGGGGACTTGGGAGAAGAAAGTATGAGAGACAGATGGAGAAGGAAGAGGGTGAGCATGCCCACTATCAGCAGGAGTTCCAGCCAGGCTGGGGAGAGTGTGATCCCACCCTTACCTTTCTGGGTTTTCGATTTCTTCTGTTACAAAATTAAGGGTGTCCCAACCTGAGTAAGAGAAGAGGGCGGAGTAGAGGGAAAGAGAGAGGTTTCCCACATGCCAGGAGGAACCCTCAAAGGCGTTCTGAAAGTGCTCAGAGTGTCCTGTGGAGGCAAAGGCAAGTGGGGGGTTCAGGGAGAAGTAACAGGTCAAAGGAGAAGTGGGGAAGAAGGAAGAAAGGTATAAGGAGAAGAGGAAGGATGGGGAGGAAGAGTAAGAAAGAGGAAGGGAAGATGAAAAAAGGAGAAACAGGGAGGAAGACAGGGAAGGACAAGAAAAGAAAGAAAAAACAAGAGGGCAGGGGGAAGAAAAAAAAAACATAATTTAATACCGAAAGATCAACAACTATCAGCTCCTTATACTTTACCACCCCACCTACTTCTTCTAGAAAGTTCCTATTCCTTTAGTAAAACTGGACAATCTCAGAAAAACAAAGGCATTCCTGGTTGTCCTCTGATGTGATAATACTTTTTCCAAACCCTTAAGGAATTTCCATTTCCTGTAAGTGACCTCACAGCAGGCCATAGCTCTTCTTCCTATTTTAAAAGAACCCCATTTCACATAAAGCAGTCCTTTTTCATTGATAATTAGAACTTTCTGTGGAACCACGTCTCTTTCATTGATAATTAGAACTTTCTGTGCCCAGACCACTGCACACAATGTGGTCAAATGGATGTATCAGTCTCATGGAGAGTACGTTTGTGTTCTAGCTGCAGTGACCAGGGTTTCATAGGCAGGAAATCTCTATAGGAGATCTGGGGTTTTCTTAGCTTTCTCTGCGCTTGGGCTAGGTCTGGGCCATCTCTACCCTTCAGGGAGCCAGCCCAGGTGCAGGCACCTGTTGTACTCCTTCCACCTCTCTGGGGACTACAGATCTGAAAGCCCAGGGGTAGCACTCAGCTATCCAGAACAGAGCTCTTCTGGACACATAGGGGTTTTTAATAAGACCCAGACTCCTAAGGAAGCCTGTTAACATACCCTACAGTAGCAGTTCTCAACCTGTGGGTTGCGACCCCTTTTTTTTCCATTTGTAATAACGTGGCAATTGGGAAGGTTGAGAACCATTGCCCTAAAGAAAGCCTAGATGCAGCTCTCATTGTGGCAAAAGGACTGGGTGTACAGCAAGAGAAGGGAAAATAAGAGACCCCATCCTCCAGGGGTGTCTGTCATCACATGCATCCCTAAGGCACAGATCTTGTGGGGAGGATGCCCAATTTGATCCCAATATGCTTCTAAGCCTCCAGAAACATCCAGGTGGCTAGCTGTACTGACTCAGTATCAGTATAAGTGCACAAAGGTGCTGGATCAGCTGTCTAAGAATGATTGAGGGCATTTTTTAAAAGCACAAGTTTTACAGGCACCAAACCAACCAGAATGTGATCCAATAGGTCTGAAATGAGGACCTCAGCTCTCCTGGTGACTATAAACACAGGCATGTTTGGGGATTGATGGCCTAGAGAACTGGGTTGTGAAATGATTGATATGTCCTTGGTTGAAGATACCTCAGGGCCAGGCATGGTGGCTCATGCTTTTAATCCTAGCACTTGGGAGGCCGAGGCGAGTGGATTGCCTGAGCACATGAGTTCAAAACCAACCTGATCCAGAGTGAGACCTCGTCTCTAAAAAATAGGCAGGAGTTGTGGCAAGTGCCTGTAGTCCAGCTACTCGGGAGGCTGAGGTAAGAGAATCACTTGAGCCCAAGAGTTTGAGGTTGCTGTGGGCTGTGATGCCACGGCACTCTACCAAGGGTGACACAGTAAGACTCTGTCTCAAAAAAAACAAAAAAACAAAACTAGCCCAGTGTTGTGGTAGGTGCCTGTAGTCCCAGCTACTCAGGAGGCTGAGACAAGAGGATCACTTAAACCCATGAGTTTGAGGTTGCTATGAGCTATGGTCACACCACTGCCTCCTGAGTAACAGAGTAAAACTCTGAAAAAAAGACACCTCAGGACTTTTGTAAGGGTTCAGGAGATCTTGGTAGCCCTGTTACCCTCACTGCTAGTTGGCTCTGATCCAGGAATGAAAAGCTTTCTAAAGCCAACATGCAGGAAAAACAGCATTAATTTCACAGTATTTTAATATTTGCTAAGAGCTGACTTTGGGGCCTGGCGCCTGTGGCTCAAGTGGCTAAGGTGCCAGCCACATACACCTAAGGTGGCGGGTTCGAATCCAGCCCAGGCCCCGCCAAAACAACGACAGCTGCAACAACAACAACAAAAAATAGCCAGGCATTGTGGCGGGTGCCTGTGGTCCCAGCTACTTGGGAGGCTGAGGCAGGAGACTCACTTGAGCCCAGGAGTTGGAGGTTGCTGTGAGCTGTGATGCCATGGCACTCTACCCAGGAGGACAGCTTGAGGCTCTGTCTCCAAAAAAAAAAAAAAAACAGCTGACTTTGGGAGGGAATACTGAACACAAATCCAGATGAAAAGTAAAGGCTGCAAAATCTTGATTTTCATTCCCACTCAAGGAGAACCCAATCTTCCTACTGGCTGCCTGGTAGTCACAGACCACAAACAGGAACCACTCTATCCCCACAGATTATTGTTGTGACCTAATTATGACCCAAGCTTTAAGAGCTCCTAGGCTTTTGGCTGGCTTCCTGCAATGCTCCCAGACTCCAGGAAAGCAGCCCTGAGGGAAAAGGTGACTAATGTCCACCTGGCCAAGCCAGCCTGGCCCAAGAAGCCCAGAAAGAACTTTATTCTCATCTCTTGCACTCACTGACACATGCTAGTATATATACAGAAAGAGCTGATAAGTAAAGCTAACAGAGTCCCTGTGTCCTCCTCAAGGAAGCCATAGGAACTTCTGGAGACATCCACCCTCCTTCCCACCTTGGGCCCCTCTTACCCTGGCACAGTTTAACAAGGCCCATGACAATGATGGCAATGAGCGCCAGAACCTTGGCGTAAGTGAACGTGTCCTGCACACGTGTGCCCCACTTGACATAGGCACAGTTCACAAATGTCAGCAGACCTAGGAGAAAAACCATAAAGTCACTGGCAAGCTTGAACTGAGAGAGCACAGAGGACCAAGCCCTAGACAATGTCACTTCTGCCCTTCTTGCCTAAGGCAAAGGAGCCAATGGAGCTATAAGAACCACAAGAAAAAGCACATGGGGGGACACCCTGTACCTGCTCCAGCTGAGAGCACACATGAATATCCCATCACTGTTGACATTCAAAGATACAAAGGCTGCAAAATAACCACCCATTTCTGTTCCCACTCAAAGAGAGCACAGTCTTCCTACTCACTGCCCAGCAGTCACAGACCACAAACAGGAGCCACTCTACCCCACAGATTGCTTTTCTGACCCAGTTATGACCCAAGCTTCAGTGAACACATATCCATACATTCTAAAAGTGTTGCTGTAAATTGTTCCGGCAGTCCTCAGGCTATAGAAAGCCCCCCAGACCCAGAAATGGTTGACTTTCCTCATTCTTCCCCACTCAGACTCCCAAGGTTCCAAACCACAAGAAGCATAAAACCTGTCCACAGCCACATTACAGTGGGAACAAAAGAGACCCATCAATAAATAAGGTAAATTTGGGGTGGCACCAGTGGCTCAGTGAGTAGGGCGCTGGTCTCATATACCAAGGGTGGCAAGTTCAAACCTGGCCCCAGCTAAAATGCAACAAAAAAATAGCTGGGCATTGTGGCAGGAGCCTATAGTCCCAGCTACTCAGGAGGCTGAAGCAAGAAGGAACTGGAGGTTGCTGTGAGCTGTGATGCCACAGCACTCTACCAAGGGCGATAAAGTGAGACTCTGTCTCTACAAAAATATATATATAATAAAGTAAATTTGAATGCAGATGAGAGGTAATTTAAAAAATTGGATAGGCTCGGTGCCTGTGGCTCAAACGGCTAAGGCACCAGCCACATATACCTGAGCTGGTGGGTTCGAACCTAGCCTGGGCCTGCCAAACAACCATGACAGCTGCAACCAAAAAATAGCCGGGCATTGTGGTGGGTGACCGTAGCCCTAGCTACTTGAGAGGTGGAGGCAGGAGACTCGCTTGAGCCCAGGAGTTGGAGGTTGCTGTGAGCTGTGACGCAACAGCACTCTACCCAGGGTGACAGCTTAAGGCTCTGTCTCAAAAAAAATTAAAAAATTGGACAATGTTTTCCATGTAAGTATAAAATTAAAAACTTGTTATGTGGCTGACAATTTAACACACATCCTCTCAACCAATTCTCACAAGCTCAAAATACGGCAGAACCTCCAATGCTGACCACCTCCCTACATTGATCATTTCCTTAAACCAGGCGTCCTCAAACTACAGCCCGCGGGCCACATGGGGCCCACTGTGGACATTTATCCAGCCCATCCGCTGTTTTTGCCACCGCTGCCTGGCCTGCTTAGCAGCCAACTCATCCCAGGGCCTGCAGTCCAGCCCTCCAACAACCTGAGGGACAGTGAACTGGCCCCCTGTTTAAAAAGTTTGAGGACCCCTGCTAAACCGACCTAATCTTCATAGACCGAACATACACCACATGTACGTATCAGTACAGTAGGACCAGTTCCTTATGTTGACCATCTCTGTATGTTGATTAGCTTACAACAGTCCCTTGGATAGTCAATTTACTATATAGACATTCCTATTCCCATTTCTTCTCAGATGAGGAAACTGAGGCTGAAAGAGGGTAACTACCCATCATTCCCAAGCCCACTTATCACTCCTACCCTCATTCCTTTTCAAACCTTCTAATTCTCAGTGTGGTCCATGGAGAACTGAGCCCATTTCAGTGTTTTCCAGCTCTTCACACACCTTAGTGATATTTGGGCCATGTATTAAGTAAGGGTCCTGCTAAACAAGGATAGCTCTAATCCATAGGGAGGACACAAGAGTAATATCTTATAGCAAAAAGGAACACAGTGACACCTCTAAGTACTGCCTCTACCCTCCAAAAATAGAACTTTTATATGCATCTCAAGGTGACACCACTGTACTCTAGCTGGAGCAACAGAAAGAGACTCTGTCTCAAAAAACAAAAGTCCTCCCCGCCTCTTCCTGCCATAATCAACAGCGTCTCCCACTTTCAAGATCTAGCTGAGCCCCAACTTCCTCTGAAAAATCTTCCCCAAATATACCATCCAGCCCCTCTTTGAGGTCTCTTCCCTGAAGCCTAGAGCATTTGCACTCTACAGCACAGCTTAGTGTCTAATGCTACAGTTGTGTGGACATCTGTCTCAAGTAGCTCTCCCCTTTTTGCTTAGCAAAGAGGGGAAATATTTGGAGTCAGTTAAAAAAAAAAAAAAAAAGAAAAGAAAAGAGGGGAAATGATGAACCTGGGTGGAATCAAGGTTGTGATGACTTTCACTTAGCTGCCAATTTCCTGAGGCAAAGCAAATTGTCAGAACGTTGGATGTTAATGGGAAAGAAGTGCCTAGGTCCAGTGTGTGGAAATAAACAGGCAACATAGCCTTGATGGCACTGAAGAGTTTTCACTCAGTATGCTGGCAAATTACATAGTCAATCATGAGGCTGGTGGGAATCCAGAGAAGAGTGGTTAAAATACTATGTAGGGCTAAGCCCAGATCAGCTAACATAAGGATTACCTAATCCACAGACTCTGGGGCAATACATTAACCATATTTTGAGGTACCTGCCCAGTGCCTTCTTGGGAATTGCTTCCCATCCCCTATTATAGCTGATTGAGCCACAGTGAACCTAAGCTGAGCCTGTCAGATCACATCTCCCAGGAACAAAGAATGGGAGACCAAGAAACTGAATCTAACATTAGCAGGCAAAAGTCAGAAGCTGGCTCGGCGCCTGTAGCTCAAGCAGCTAAGGCACTAGCCATATACATCAAAGCCAGCAGGTTCGAATTCCACCCAGGCCTGCCAAACAACAATGACAACTACAGCCAAAAAATAGCCACCAGGAGGCTGAGGCAAAAGAATCGCTTAAGCCCAGGAGTTGAAGGTTGCTGTGAGCTGTGATGCCAGAGCACTCTACCCAGGGCTACAGCTTGAGGCTCTGTCTCAAAAAAAAAAAAAAAAAAAAAGAGTTAGAAGCTACAGCAAGTTAAAGTCTCATACAGGACCTTAGAGGAACAGAAACCACAAATAAGCAAGCGGAAGTGAGAAGACAAGCAGCTCTGAGAGACTCACAGAAGCTGGTGCTATGGGTGGGGTCACGCACTCCCGGCAGGGGTGCAGACCTATAGTCCCAGCTACTTGAGGCTGAGGCAGGAGGATGGCTTAAGCCCAGGAAAAAGAGACTTTCTGGTAAAATGCTGGCTGTGTTCACTATGTTTATTTTGTAGCCCCAGTAAGGGGAAGAGAAGCTGATAGACTACTCCTCAGACCCCCAACAGACAGTCCTCACTGCCCCTTCTTCTCCTTCCCCACATTCTGCTACAAAGTTCTTTCTTGCAAGCTTGGTCCTCTCTACACACAAATAAATATTACACACAGTGGAAATTCAATGACTACTTGCTAAACTAACAAATGAAGGCAGCTCTCCTACAAGTCCCTACAGAGCCAATTTCAAAGACCAGCAGGAAGGGTACAAAACCACCTGGTCAGAGTAGTTGCTTCTAGGAAGACTAAAGACCTAGAGAAGGAGAGAGACTTTTCCCATTGTGCACCCTTACATACTTGGACTGAACCATGCTTCTTTCTAGATAAAAATAAAAATATAGTAGAACCTCCATAAGTTGACCACCTGAGGGACTGTGACAACCTGATCAACATACAGAGGCAGCCAACATAAGGCACTAGGTCTTAGTACATGTGGTGCATGTCCAGTCTATGAAAATTAGGTCAAGTGAAGAAGGTGGTCAGTGTAGAAAGGTGATCAACTATGGAGGTTCTGCTATAATTCAGAAAGCAAAAACAGGGTCAGGGTGAAACTAATATGTGCCTAGTGTACAAATTTTAAGAAGGCACTCGCTCTCAGGGGACCATGTGCAGAACCTGAGAGTCCTTAAATGCTGGCCCCAGGCGTCTCTCTTGCCTCACTCTACTCTCAGCCTTGCCAGAGAACAGAGAGCTCCCAAAACAGTCTTCCAAGCAGAAGCCAAGTCCCGTGATTGTATTCCTGATTCTAATTAAGAAAACAGGGCCAGGTGCAGTGGCTCATACCTATCATCCCAGCCCTTCAGGAAGCAAAGGCAGATGAATCGACTGAGCTCAGGAGTTCAAGACCAGACTGAGCAAGAGTAAGATACCATCTCTGCTAAAAACAAAAAAACTAGGCAGGCATTGTGACAAGTGCCTGTAGTCCCAACTACTTAGGAGGCTGAGGCAAGAGGATCACTTAGGCCCAAGAGTTTGAGGTTACTATGAGCTATGATGCCATGGCACTCTACCCAGAGTGACCCAGTGAGACTCTGCCTCAAAAAAAAAAGTTTCAGGCGGCACCTGTGACTCAGTCAGTAGGGCGCCGGCCCCATATACCGAGGGTAGCAGGTTCAAACCCGGCCCCAGCCAAATTGCAACAATGGAAGTAGCTGGGCATTGTGGCAGCTGCCTGTAGTCCCAGCTACTCTGGAGGCTGAGGCAAGAGAATCTCCTAAGCCCAAGAGCTGGAGGGTGCTATGAGCTGTTATGCCACGGCACTCTACCAAGAGCAACAAAGTGAGACTCCGTCTCTAAAAAAGAAATAAAAGTTTCATATAAGACATCAGGAAGTATCTTTAAAAGGTGGGGTGTGCCTTTCTTTGTCCTTCCTGTTAGCTGCAATCCAGACCCCACAGTGGAGCTTGAATCGTCATACTGGACCATGGGCTAGAAGTCACATGCTGAGGATGGCAGAGCAGTAAAACAGAAGGAATGAACCTGGCTCCCTGAAAAATTGAAGCTGTGGACGGCACCTGTGGCTCAAAAGGGTAAGTTGCCAGTCCCATATACTGGAGGTGGTGGGTTCAAACACAGCCCTGGCCA